TTGCTGTACTTCCGCTCTGGCAGAGCCCCTCTTTAGAAGTTTGATGCAAGAGTGTTGACACATTTATGTATCCCCAGCTGTATAGTAGTGTAACTATACTAAAGCAAGTTCATACAACTTGCCTCTGAGCACTACTTATCTTTTCTCATCCCTTGAAATTACAACGACCTCTTAGAATTCTGCCTTTTCAGCACGTTGATCTTTGGTATTTGCATGTGGTACTTTGTGATGCATTCATACATATTTAAGCTATCAGCTTATCATTCACAGCACGTTTTGCACAAAAAATGACTCTCCTCAAAGCACCACATTCTCTCCTGAATGACGCTTGAGTAGATTTATTTCATCTTTCTGTGTTATTTACTTGTCTGTCTGCCTCTGTTTTCTATTTTATTTTGTTTAATCTCAAAGCACTGCATCAGTTAGCAGTAGTTTTCAGTGCAGAAAACAAATTCTAAACTAAAACATCTTCATGTCAAGGTTCTCTGACATAACAGGAGCTTGTGACCAGCCAGGTTTATATCTAGGTTTTCTTGAAGGGGTTAGGATGGGGAAGATCCGACTTAGCTGCTTTTAGAAGAGCAACTAGTCTATAGTGGAGAAGAAAATAAGTACTAGCTGTGTTCTCATGCTAGACTCTTCAGTGAAACTAGAGTTGTCAGTCAGTAGCAGGAGAGGAAAAAGAAATGATCTACTATCTGAAGCAGTATGTCTAAGGAAACGGAGAAAGGAAGCAAGGGCATGGGTAGAAAACCAAGTGATGCACAGAAAGAAAATGAGTGCCCCCTTTCATGAAAGGGCTTTTTATTGTGGAAGCAAAACTAGATTCTTTCTGTTGAAGGAGTATAATGGTTTGTTTAAAACTACATTTCATGATCATTTTGTTAATTATTCACCCAGATAAAGGCCCACTTGTGTGTGTGTGGTTTTTTTTTAATTTTTGTCTCTTGAGTAGATTTGCATTTATATATAAGCAAACTTTTTTTTCAAGCTCGTGTTTCTTACTTAATTACTATCCACTGAAAATAGATGGAAAACTGTTGCAGGATTAACAGTACTGCTTTCTTATCTCCCATAGATTTCTAGCAGGCTCTGACATCGTGATAAAGCAAACGACATCTCTCCAACTCCTTCGTGCTTAAGATAAGCACTTGACGTTGCTCATAACGTTTCATGAATTTAGATCCCTTACATATTTTCTGGCGTGCCCACAAGGAAAAGTAGTTTGCGCTGTTTAGGAGCGAGGAAGATGGAGTAAATTGTGAAGCAGAGAAGATTCCCAAAGAGGGGTCTGTCAGGGGAGCTGCGGAACATACCTGTACCGCTGACAGGACTGTCACCTATTAGATGTCTGACCCTGTTTAGAGATCCAAATTAATAACAATGTCAAGAGGTGGTGAGCCTGATAATAGCAGGAAATATTTAGAGTAAGATAGCTAATTTGGTCAGTTTTGAGTGATTTGCTGTTTTTAACAGTTAAGGACTGCAAAGTCATGTTACAGTGACTTAATTTATTAAGTCATAAGTACAGACCAAAGTGGCAAAGTC